TAACATGATGTTTAGTTGGTTTGTTTAACTATTATACGTGAAGTACGTTTTTTGGGGGGTGGTTAATGAAAGTGTTCCAAAATGCAACATTAATTTCTTGATGACCTAATATCTATATATATGCATCTGTGTGTGCGAAATAATAAGTTTTGGTTGTATGTTCTCGACTAGCACTAGCTTTCTTTATAGTGTATGTTCAAAGGGTCTCAGTTCATATGTATGATCTATGTTACATATTACATCTGGAAAAACAAAAATGTGTTACTTTTTACATGAGATAGTTAGTTATAAAACAAAAAATAAATAAATAATTATAAACTAAAGTCCAGTACAGTTGCAACTATAAGTACTGGTGGATGAAAGTGTTTTGGTTAATTATTAGAGCTTATAGCATTAGCTTCTGAAATATTTCGAAAACTTAATAAATTACCTTCAGATCAGGGCTGGACAGAGTCTAGTGATTATATGCTGAACTGTCAATCTGAAGGTTAATGGCCCATGTACTACTGCCAAAAAAGATTGCTTTTCACACTTTGGAGTTGTGAATGCATTATAAGAGTAACAATTTAATCTCACTATTTGATTAGAGTTTCCAAAGAGTTGATGGTGGACACTGTTGACTAGCTGACTTTCCTTTAGTTTATCATTTAAAGATGATTATCTGAGATAGACCTTGTGTAGCTTTGCAAGAATATCCAGAACAAAGACGTTATAAAGCCCTTCAGGTTATTACTTCTTTTCTGTTTGCATTTGTTTGTTATGGAGGAATAAAAATGGCTTTTCTTGGCAAAAACAATAATACACTGTATTTGAAATATGTAGATATTGTTGCTTAAAATCAACATAAAATTTTCTAGTCTTTATATTCATTATATGAATTAGTACAAGGTCTTTTAAATACAATTGTTCTTTAGTTAGCTGGGTAAAACAATATGCACAGTATCTTAAATTCCATTTGTTGTTCTCATCCCTTAATCAAGCAAACTTTTGCAGAGAGAGAGAGAGCAGTATTTTAGTTTTGAAGTGTGAGAAAATAGTTAGCATTGTATATTAAGATCTGAAGTAGGGTAAAATTAGAAATGAAACATTTCTTCTTTTAGTGACATATCAGATTTTTAAAAGGAGAATTATGACGTTGAAAATTGCTCATGAAAATTTTACATTTAAATCTACCTTAGTTTTCATTATCAAGCTTTCTATCACAAAATACTAGAATTGCTAGATTAATAAAAGAAGATTCTAGGTCTAAAATGTGGCCTCATAACAGTACTTGAAATTTTGCTATGCCTGTTATTTAAACTTGTTTGTTACTTGCTTTGATGATAATTTTATTTCGTCCCTCAGGTTTTTAGTGCGTGCTTCATATATGGAAATTTATAATGAAGAAGTTCGTGATCTCTTGGGAAAAGATCAAAATGTTCATTTGGAGGTTAGCTTGTTTTTCATACTTTGCTGCATCATCTGAAACTTTTCAAATGCTTTTTTTATCCATTGTACTTCTTCTATAGTTTTAAAACATTGAAATATAGAACAGAATGAACAGTATAGAAGCAACACTTGGCTGTAGTTACATTAAGTCTTTCTTAGTCAGCCATGTTCTAGAGTTAATTAGCTAAAACTGACAAAAAATATAAATAGTTTATGGAAATAAAAATAACATAAATGAGCTAAACAAACTCTTGAAATCATTAATGATATTCAGTTGTATGAGTGGAAGGAGATTTTCATGTTAAGAATAGAAATACTCTTTTATTATAGTTTTTATATTTCATTTGCATAATCTCTAGTACCTCGTAAATGAATAACAGATGTTTTTGCTATAAAACTTTATACTTTATCTCTTATTTTATTCTACCCTAACACTAACTGTAGGGAAAGCATATGTGGAGAAAGTTGAATCTAAACTAACATAACAAATTACTGGCAAGATTATATTTCAAGTTATGGTAAACAAAGTATTAAATTACATAACACATGAACAGCTTGCATGCATACCTCACAGAGAAATTATCTTCTTTTTTTATACTTAAGTTTTCTTATCTAATTATCTAACTTAAGTTTTAATTTTTACATTTTAGTTACTTTTGTTAAAAATATATATATCAATACATAAAAATAGTACAAGAACAAGAAATTTACTTCATACTATAGTACAAGAACAAGAAATTTACCTCATACTATGGCTTGTTAGCCTATTTGGACTTTTGAACATACTATTAATGTATTTTGCTAAGAATACTTTTACATCACTATAATAGTTGTCCAAAAAATAACTTATGTAACTTTCAAATATGCATTTAGAAACACACACAATGATTTTGACAGCAAAACAGAATGCCCCAAGGCTATAATAATTCTGGTTTTCTAATTAACTTGTTTCTAGCTTGTTTGGTGGATGTAACAAACTTATTAATATCTCAGAAAATAAAGTATTTGGGAGGTTCTCATTTTAAATTCTGGCCTATCAATATCTATAGTTGATGTATATAATTGGTGGATATTTTGAAAACCACATAAGGGAAGAAAAAATCTACAAAGGAGAATTCAAAGCAGAGAGGCATCATGTGGCACAGAGAAGTGATAATTGAGAATTCATTTAAATATTTCCTTATTTAAAAAAGGTAAAATCTATATAATATTGAATATGAATTATAAACTACATTTTGGTGTCATGTTTATTGATGCACATTGATAATAAAGTCTTCCAAAACTTACATACCTCTGCTGATACTTATAGCTATTACTAGACTGCCAGAGTTTCTTCTTTGCCCATCTAAGCATTAGTCTGATTTTTTCTCCCTTGCTCCAGTCTTTTATACCCCAGTCAGTTGCCCTTGGTGATAATTGTATTGTGATACTCTCCACCTACATCAATGCACCCTCTATCCTGGTGCTGTATATAAGCACCTCATTCAGATAATTTTATCACTTTTTCTCAATAAAATATCACTAATGGGTTTCCCACTATTATGACATTCGGAGACATAAATAATATAATTTAAATAAAAAAACTACATTTTTTTCTTTCTTCCGATTGGCAAGCCGATTGTGGTATGAATTCCTGGATTACTATTTCTGGCATGGAGGCCAGATGGGTCTCTCCTCTCCCACCTCTGATATCTAGCACCACACAACAAGTGGAAAGGTCTTTCTCGTGTTGAGACTGTTAGTGACATTATTCGTAGTGAGGATCTGTGGTGATCCTAGAGGGGGCTCTGAGGCTGCATTTGAGAGTGATCATCAACATTTTGGAGAGACTTTAGATTTGCTTTTTCCTGTGCCTTCTTCTAGTCTGTTGGATTTTCAGCTCCATTGTGGGTCAGTGGTAAGTTTACAGACTTTTAGCACCAGGGTCTGGGGTTTGATTCCCTAGGGTTGACGCGGCAGATGGCCCACATTTGCTTTGCTCTATAAAACAACTTACCTTACCACGATCTTTAACTGACCTGTGAAAAATGAAAAGGAGGTCTTATTGGGAAAAGCTGCCTTTGATTTGTTTTTCTTCTGTTCTTTCTTAGTGTGTGTGATGTTTTGGACTTTTTTCTGGTTGCTTTTGAGCTTGCAACTTAATTGATTGCTGAAAGGTCTGTGAGTGAATTATTTCTTTCTCCATACACGGAAGTTGAGGTTCATGCTGGAACGTTTATTTCTTAGATACGTGAAGGGATAGTTAGGCCGCATGTTGTCGGAACTTCATGATTTCGCCTACCACCATCAGATATTGGCAATTAACCGACTCTCAAATAATATCTGCTCTTCGAATTTTGGTTATTAAGGCAGAGTTTGTAGTTCACATATATAAGTCTATGTACTCTGATGGGACAGATTAAGGCTATGGACTTACAATTCAACTTCAACATTTTGTTTCCTTTCACTTCACTTTGTTAGAATGCTCTCAGGATCACCAGTTTCATTGAGGATGAGCTGAATCCATTGTTAGCATGCAAGTTGTTTCAATTTTCGGCTTCTACATTCCTTCCAGTTGTTTTTGGAGTCTCGAATTTCATCAGCTCCTACAGGGGGTTCATAGTTTCACCCCTATTCATGAGTACCGATCCCCGACATCAACTCCTCGATACATTGGCACTCAAAATACATTGTCTATATCCAAGGTTTCCACTGATTAGTCGAATCGCCAGCAGTGTCGGTGATTATTGTATACCTTCAGAAGCTGTGGGGGCTCTGTCCAAGAATTTCTGGATGTGTGGTAATTTTACCCATCGGTCCAGAAGTTCTGCAGGTCCTTTGGTCACAATTGGTTCAATTCACATCTTCCCCACTCTTGCCCACCTAGCTTGTAGTGTTTTCATCTCTCTCAGTTCATCGGGATTTGGTTATCTGGGGGTAGTGAGAGAATTGGGCTAGTTCTTCAGAGTTTTTATTCCAATTAGATGTTGGGTCTGTGAAGACAAAAGATTGGTGTGCAGTCATTGATCTTCCTTGTCTTTATCAATGCCGAAATTCTCCAAGGTTCACAACTTAATTATTCCTTAATCTGTGTTGATTTTTTTACTTCAATTATAGATGTACAACTTGATTGTAGTCGACTCCTATCTGCACTTTGCCTTAGTGGTGGAGTCCCACCACTATCGATGTTTGTGGTGCACAAGGATCAGGTATTGCAGTTCCATTTTTTTTTTACCTTTGAATTTGCATAGGTTTAACATGGGTTATGCTGTATTGTACAAGTTTTCTCACCCCCTTCATTCCATCGTACTGTGCACACATCATTCCTTGGATGACTGGTCACTGCTTGCAACATCTCGTCAATTGTTAAATCTTCACATCCTGATTCTACTTTTAGATACAACCTAGGCTGGCTTCTTTTTCAAGACATGTGACATCTATTCTTGCTCCAATTCAATATGTCATCAGTCTGGGTATTTATTATTTTTCATCCCATCTCTCAGTTGGGCTCAGCTGTCTCCCATCCTGCTCAATGCTATAGAATAGGATGCCTCACCTCTCCTTCTTCCATTGCATGGATGGTACTTTCTCTTCTGGGAATGTGGGCATCACTCGATTCTATTGTAATGAGAAAACAAGCTATCCTTTTATTGGTCTTTAAGCAATAAGGGATCATACACTACTACAATTTGGGTTTCTCTACTGCCACCTCGTCCAGAGTTCCATTCTCTTCACATATGTATTTCTTCAGGGATGGGGTGCATATACCAACAGTTAGGAATTTCAGAGTCTATGCACGGACAACAAGGATTCTCTACACAATGTTTTCATCCTTCGTGCTCTTCAATAGGCAAGGTCTCATGGTTTGGGCTTCTTAAGGGATAAATTGTCAGGCTGCACTCTGACTATTCTGTGGTGGTGTCTTATGTTTCTCATCAAGGAAGTATGTGATCTGGGGTCCTTATTTTTGAATTTTGGACGTCCTTTTTTGGGACTATTTTTATCTTATCACCCTTCTAGCTTGCCATGTTCCATCGCAAGGCTCAGCTAGATTGCCTCTCATTTTGCAATTTTTGGGTTGGCCTCTCATTGGATCACCAACTAGTGGCAATTTGGTCTCCAGTATCTCATCTTTGGGCCTTGGCAATAGATACTTTCCATCTGGACAGGGTGGGATTACAACTCTCAATTTTCTCTCCACTTCATATGTTATCCAGGGAATGAAATATGATTTATTCTAACCCATTGCCAGATCCTGTTGATTGCACCAAATTGGTGGCTACACCTGGGTTTGTACTTCTGCCGTCTTTTCTGGTGTGTCCACCTCTTACACTTCATTTTATGCTCTCTTTAGAGGCAGCCATGATTGGATATGGTGCACCCGGCTATCCAGAAGTTCAAGCTTCTGGCATAGAGGTAATGCTGTCTTTCACACGTCATTGGGGTTTAATTTCTAAGGTTGACATATATCTGGCTCAGTTTCTGCTTAGTCTGAAAGTCACTTTTCTCAAAGGTAAAGACATGCTTATCAGCAATGTTATATTGAGAGGAGGTTGGACCTTTTCAATCAGTGGTGTCAACCATAACTAGTTTTTGGACTTGGCTCTTTGACAGAGGTTTTTACATCTACCACAGTCACCATTGTTTATGGTGAGCTTATCGACTACTGGTCAGTTATCGCAACTACATATTTTTGAGTCCCCAATGCTCTCCTGATTTGTCACATTGTTTTGGGTAATTAGTTCCAAATGACCATTCCAGTTATTTAATTGGTAGATTCAGGTTACATGTTCTTTCTCTACAGGTGTCATTCCACCTCAAATCACTGAGGGCATGACACCCAACATCTCATAATTGGGCAATTTTTTAACTGATGGTACCTATCTATTGGATAAGTATACCTGCAAATTTTTTTGCAAAATCCTTTCTCCTTCAAGAAATAGAAACATTTGAATTTTATCCAAATTTGGTCAAAAGTTGCTTATGGCAGCCAATTTGAATTTCCACAAATACTCTCTGCCA